AGAAGGAGAAGAAAAAGAGAAACATAACGAAGTTGCTATTGAAACTGAAGTAGAAATCGAGGAGAAAGAAGCAGCAAAAGGGAACACTGAGGGAAAAAATAGTTCAGGTGTTCATGAAGCGGGCAAGAAGGTTGAAGGAGAAGTGATTGAGAATGGCGGCCCAGGCAATGAAGCTTGATGGTTTGCTGAATGGCTCCGGTTTCTCGTCCAGCATTCTGACCCTTTCACATTTCTGAGAAAATCATTAGTTTCAGTGTTGTTAATTTTAGCTATCTGATTGTTCATTGAAGCATCCGTCTATAGGATCATTAGATTAGGCCTATAATGTACCATCCTTTTGTTGTACTAGAAAGAATGTAGCTGTCAGTGACCTCTGTAACATTATGGTGTAAAATACTGGTGATGTAATACTATTATGCCCTGTATTGTTGTAGTGATGTTAAGAACTCGTTTCACTTTTGAAGCCCATGCTTGAGATGACTTGATCTAGCTGCTGTTGATATTGAATGTTGATTTTGCCGGATGGTGGGTGGGTTAATTCTGTGTTTTATGGGAAGACTGAAGATTTGAAATCATAAAACGCTGAAACATCCATAGCTGTGGGTTGCCCAATGCATACAAAAATGAAAAGTTCCATTACTTCAAGAGATATTTAATCATATACCCATTCTTAACACTAATGATATAAATAAACTCTAAAACATTTAATTTCTATAAATAAACCAAAAAAAATAAAATGATAACTGATTCTATTGAATTTAATTTTGATTATTAAATTACTTTGATGCCCTATTGAGTGTTTTGAGTTTTTTAATGAGGTTTTGCGGGTAGGCTTGTTATAAGAAATCAAAGACAGTAAGTTAAAAGCCTCTTTGTTATGTTATAAATGAGCTTTGGGTGTGTTTCTAAACTCTATTTTATATATGGTATTTTTATAATTTGAGCCATTGTATTGGGTATAATAGTGAATCTCCCTTAATTCAACTCAATGTGTAAAGAACAATGAAATCGAAATTTGTAGTGTTTAGTGAAGACTGTTGAGTTTACTGTAGCCGAAACTCAACGGAGACCGTTGAACTCAAATTGCACCAATAAAATAAAACCAGAGAATTCAAGGAACTAAAAGTTTTCCTCTCATACAAAGAAAAAAAAAGTGAAGTGATGATCTCGTTGTCTGTTTAAAGTCCCTTAAGCTGGTCAATGAGCCCGGTTAATGATGTCCATTTCTCAATTGCGTTGGCAGAAGACACAAAAGCAAGTTTGGAGGAATCTACATCATTCCGAGTAACTGCATAAAACCACAAGAAAAATGGTTTTCAAATATGAAGAAAAAGTATGTTTATTATGTAATTTGAACTAAATGTTGATGATATTCTAGTCAGATATTGGACCGTTTTCTGTAATATACTGTAATCTCATTGAATCATTTACAGTGATGAGAGTTAATAACAACCCACCTGATGATATCAATGAAGCCAAGGATGAATTGAAAGTATCCACCTCAGTCTTCTCTTCAGGACTAGAGCTTAGCTGTTGAGAAGGTACACAGAACAGAAGGAGAAAAAGAAGAAGTCATAAAGCTATGCAATATATGCAACATAACAAATAGCAGAAGCAATAACTCTTCATGGAAACTCTTCATTCTGAAATCAAGAATCTAAACGCGCAATGTATGCTATAAGTTTTGATGGTTGAGGTTTTCTGTGACAAGCCACATTGCTTGCTTATAAGAAACTATCTAGAACATTATGTGTGCTAATCTTGTTCTTATAAACCAGCAGGATGACCTTATTCAAAGCAATATTGGCCTTCTGAACCCAATCTGTATCTGTGCTGGCCCCAAGAACTGAACTAGCTGTTGGCAAATCGTTGCTTTCAATGGCTTGGCCTGCTTTGCTCAGCCTGTACACCAGTTCCTGCAGATATCCTGCAATGCAACATATCATATTAGTGTCGTCGCGGAAGCATCATGGTGGCTGAATTTGAGCAAATCATGTCAACAAGATCAAATAATCAGTTTCATATAAAACCATCGAATTACACAAACGCTGATTTGTTTTGTGTTATTTAGTTTCAATAGTTAGAAAAACGAAAGCAAAGCCGTCTCAAGACTGAACTACTCCAATTTGAATGCCAGAATGCACTAGAAACTTAGAAACAATGTAGCACACACAGAGCAGCTCCTTAATTCTCCACTGTTTTTTTTGACATTATCACATGGGAATCAGGCAAAATGCAGCCTTCCCAGCACTCTAAAATAGATTGTTTTCGTCCAATTCCGAAAGATAGATTGCTATCCAACATGTGTACCTAAAATCAGACCCCCACAAACATACCCTTCTAAACTGACAGACAGAAGCCTTATTAAATAAAAAATATATAGGGGGCTTCTATGACCTTTCAAGCTGAAGCCTCAAAACCTAAACTAGAAAACATTATCACTTATGAACAGAACTTGTAAACGCATTTTTCATCAGAAAATATAGTTCTGCTACCTATTCTATAACTGGGAATTGATAAGTTTTGTTGAAATTAAATTAAACATGCAGAAAACATGAAGCGTTTTGTGATCGATCTTGAAGTGAATGGAACACAAGTCAATTAAATAAAGGGACAAAACCTGTTTCTTTTTTGGCTGAGCTGATAACTCCCTGTCTTTCAAGCCTCTTCTTTCTATCATTTTTAACCTTTTCCAAGAGCTCCTCATCATCATCAGCTTCTAGAATTGCTGCATTAGAACTGGAGCAGTGTTTACCAACCAATGAGAAGACAAAGCTGGTGACAAAGCAGATAGAGAGGCTTCTTTTGGTCAGAATTGGAGAAGCTGATTGTGGTGGCTCACTCAGGGCCTTGCAAACAGCCAATGGTCTCTTGCCATTTCGATTTTGGAAACAAACTAACGTTGGTATTGTCAATGAAGAAGAAACAACAGAAGATGGAGAAGAGGACAGAGTTGAAGGGAGGAAGGTGTTTGCAGTGGAGAGAATGGCTGTGGCCATTTCTTTCCTTCTTTCTTTTCTTTTCTTTTTTGTTTTTCTTTGATTCTTTTACCTTATTTTCTGGTATTTTTTGGTGGGAAAATTCAGAGGTATTGAATTGACATGTTAGAACTTTTGAGATAAGGTTGCAGGATTCTGTCATCTGATCCAGTCATTTTTCCTAATGATCAAGGGTATTATGGTAATCTGGAAAAAAAATATTGATGAATTTTCTAACGCTCATGTCAGGTGGAAAATTTTGGACCTTACAATTTAGAATTTACAAAGAGCTGGATGATTTGATTAATTGAGTAAATAGAATCAAATCATCCTGCGGCCACCTCTGAAGCGAGTAACACTGCGGTTAAAGCAAGCACGGGGAACTGCACAGACATAGTTCAGTCAAACGTGTCATCCTCCTATTCACGAATTATGAGTAGAAAGTGGTAAAAGTAAATTCCAAACCAAACAAACGTATGAAAGTCCAAAGTCAAAGTGAGCAACAGCGTAACTCGATAAAACCGCCAAAACGACCAAAACCCCTTCTGATCCTCAGAAAACAACCGCAGAGTAGTACTCATAAACTTCTCTCATGGCTTGCCTGAAGAAGAAGAAGCACAGCAGCACTGCATTCAAGTGTTTGTATTTGTCGGTTTTGCTCTTTGTTTGGTCCACTTCACCAACCCATAACGGGATCTTTGCCAAAGATTGAAGCTTTCATTGCGGGGTTTTGTTCCGAGGCCATGAGAAAAGCTTCTTGTTCTTTGCTCAGTTTGTTCACGTCTTCTTGGTCTTCTCCCTTTTAATTGGTATCTTTCTTTTTTGCTTTTACTTCATAGATTGTTGTCATTGCATTGATTTTTGGAGTTGGGTTCTCAGTTTCAACTGCTGTGTGCTTGAATTTGATGAATTGGATGGTTATAGAACAATGTATATCTATGTGATTTTTTGTAGTGGAAAGTTGCTTTCTTTTGGCTATTGGGTTTAGATATCTTAGCGGTTCTTGACTTAGATTGCTCGATGATAGCTTCATATTGTATTGATTAGTGTAACTTTCTATACAATCAAAATGGGTTCTATATTGCTGCTATGGGGCACCATTTATCCTTGGGTTTGCATAGTTTTGATGTTTTCCTTCGTCTGTAGAGCATATTTTGGATGATGATTGTTTATGTAGGGCTTTGACTCCGCCATGTAACCCAAAAAAAAAAAGGTTCTATATATTGTAGTAAGCCCAAACTGGGTTCTAACTTCTACACAATCTATGTGCTTGAATGGAGTACATTTCTTTTCTGGTTGAGACTGGAGTAAGTTATGTTAATTTGAGTGTAAAATATGGCACTTATATAATCTTGCCCCGTGTTGTCTTTCATACCAAGTACATGTACAAATGGGTGATGTTTGTGCTCTTTCCCAGCTTCTGTGGCGGTGCAAGCATTCACCGGAACCTATGGAATAAATTATGGAAGAATTGCAGATAACATCCCTTCACCTGATAAAGTTGTTTCTCTGATCAGGGCAGCAAAGATGAAGAATATGAAAATATATGATGCTGATCATGATGCCATCAAGGCTTTCAGAGGGACAGGGCTTGAATTAGTGGTGGTGGCACTTCTAAATGGATACCTGCAAGCCTTGAGTGCCAATGATGATCAAGCAATGAATTGGATTAAAGAAAATATGCAGGCATTCCTTCCTGATACACTCATCCGTGGGATTTGTGCGGGCAATGAAGTATTAGGTATGGCTGAATTTGAATTGTGGGGAGCTCTTTTGGGTGCAGTTAAAAACATCTACAAGGCAGTAAAGAAGCTACAATTAGCTGATTTAGTTCAGATTACCACTCCACATGCACAGGCTGTTTTTGTTCGTTCCTGCACATTTAAAAAGACTGTTTAAGCAGAAATACATGAAGCCATTTTGGAGCTCTTTGCGGAAATCAGGTCTCAATTCTGTTTAAATGCTGCCCCTTTCCTTGTCTACATGGCTGATCCAGCAAACATTGATATAAATTATGCTCGTTTCGAATCCAAATACTAAATTTTACTATGATAACATGCTTGACGCTCAGATTGATGCAGCCTATGCAACATTGGAAGATGGCAATGAAACTGCAGCCACTGTAAATAATGCAAGGATATATAATTATAATCTACGTAAAGGGCTAGCAAAGGAGAAAGGGACCCCTCTTCGGCCAAAACTTGCAGCGAAGACCTAAGTCTTTGCCATATTTAATGAGGACTTGAAACCTGGGCCAACTTCTGAGAGAAATTATGGACTGTTCAAGGTTGATGGGACCATTTTCATATGACATTGGGTTTGATGGACTTTTATCATCAACTGAAAATTCATCTTCTGCAGATTTGTCATTTCCAGAGTCAATATTTGCAGATTCAGTATCTGGAGAGTCAATATCTGCAAATTCATCATCTGAATATTCGTTGCTTTTATCTTTAAAGGTACAAGTTTCCTAAGCTCCCATAAACTAAGTCATTTGAATGCTTATTTGGGTTTGCATGATTTGTGTTCTTCCTAAATATAAATGATATTTGGTTGAAGAAACAATGAATAAACTTGAATCCCATTACATTGTCTTAGATTGTCAATGCTTTGCAACGCTTTGATCTTGTTACCTGAATTACTATATTATTGGAAGTGCTTCCTCATCTCATTGGTTTCTTTTTGTTCTGTTTCTTTATGTACACTGTTAGAACAGCATATTGGAGCTCATGGTAGGTCTCAGTCGCAATACTTGATGTTACCAATCTCTGCTGCAGCATTGGTTCTGCTTTTAAAATGATGCTTGTGCAAACCAGGCAACAGTAGAGAGAATTTCAGTGCTCATTTCTTTTTCTTTTATTTATTTATTAAAAAAAAATCCTTTTTACCTTATCGTCTGCTATTTTTGCTGGGGAAATCCAGAGGTACTGAATTAAAAATAGAGAAGCTGTAGTGCTACAATGTCCCCATCAATCCATATACTATACAGAGCCATCCAACGTCATTAACTATCAAAACCAACTCAGCATTTGAAAATGGTTCATCAATTTTGCCCCCTATCATTATATGAATGAAAGGAACATTTTCCTTCTTTCTCAAGTTTTAATACTCAAATCAAAACTTGGTCGACTATCCATCCACCACTTCCAAGCACAAGAAAATATTACTTCATTCAGCTGCAGTCATGTCCCTTTCTCAATTTCTCTTTGCCTAAAACCAAGTCCTTGTCCCAAAAGTTATTCCACAGCCAATAAAGGCAACCACACAGAGGTCAGCAAATGGGCTAGTGGGATCAAATTAGCAAATTGCAGGTCTAAGTGATGCCCAATCAAACCCCAACTGATTAAACGTAGGATCCAACTTTACCAATCCTAAATCAAAGGTAATGTTAAAATGGGCCCCTCCCTGGATGGATTTCTCAGTTCTAAACTAGCACAAAAGAAAAAGCCTACGTGCTCCATGGCTAATATTATAAATTCAACAACAAACAGTGGATGTAAAAGTAGATTCCCGTATCAGTTGGTATGGCTAAGGGCTAAAGCAACTTCTTTTTCCTTTCTGTATTTATAACGATCTTTTCTTTCGATCCATCACTTTTGTGATTTCACATTTACTACCAGAATTCATCTCTCTTTTTAAACCAGCTCAAAAGAGACAACCCTCTCATTCATCACCCACCCATTAAACATCTCTCTCTCTCTCTCTCTCTCTCTCTCTCTCTCTCTCTCTCTCTCTCTCTCTCTCTCTCTCTCTCTCTCTCTCTCTCTCTCTCTCTCTCTCTCTCTCTGTGTGCATTATAGATATTTTCCTTAAAAGGTATATCAAACATTACAAAGGAGTCTCCACCTTAATTTGTTTAGAGCTCAGCTTTTTCCACACTTGGTGCATATATTCCAACAAACAAAAGTGGCTTCTTCACCTCCACTGGGACTGAGCTTAGTGGGATCATATAGCAACATACGCGTTTACTGCTTAAAATGGCTTTTTAAATAATTAGACAGAAAAAAGGTTATGAAAAACAAAACTCAAAAGACAAAGGCTACCAAGTCTCTTGTCCTCTAAGTAAACCACCCTTTGCTTCTTTCCAGAACATCAGTTGGCTTTAATATATCAAATTAGCAGGCTGCATGTTTATAACTAATTAATGCCTCAGGCATTCAAACCTCTTTCCATTACCAAAACTTTATGAGCTGGCGGGCAGACAATCTAAAATAAACTGAATCCAAATTCAGTTTGTTTACACCAAAATGAACAGCCAATGAATACCAAACACGTGGACCAAACCAGGGCTACGTGTGCCTTCGGCACTCACCTTCGGTACCAAACCTACCGATCGCAACATTAGGGCAACCTCGCCCCTCTGGACGCGTGGCGGTCTCACAATTGACGCCCAGAGTCCCACATCGAAACTCTAAACAAATTGCACACCTCCCAAGGCCTATAAAAGAGGACACCCATCCCAGCTTGAAGGTAATCAATCAGAACTTACGGCATACTGCCTATTGATCTGTAGTTCAAACTTACTTAATCCGTACTTACTTAAGCATCGGAGAGCCTTCGGCCGGTACCACACCGGTGCCCTAGGATTACCGTGTGTTTGCTATCTTACAGATCGCACACCCTACCGAGGACATCAGATACCGAAGAGACTTAATAACTAAGTTGCGCGGGAAAGTGCCGAACCATTTTTCTGCGTCAACACAGTTACTCATAGTTAAATTTTTTATTTGCCTAAGAAGAAAATACCCATAAAACGTATTATAGAAAACGATTTTTGGATCGTATACGGTATTGCATTTCTAGTATGCAAGTCAAATGCATGTGAAGAATAATTGTGTGGAAGCAGAATATGGAATCAGGTTCTAATTGTCCTAAAACTTGAAAACAGAGCATAATTTCAATTTTCTTTTTAAAGGAAAACGAGTACGTAGTTAAGGCATAACTTGGAAATTGGCATCATTACAGTTTTCCAGGCTCACTGCATAGTTTGTCTTTCTTGTTCTAAGTCTTCCTTTTCTCTCCATGATCGATTCATACGGAAGGAGGAACAAAAGAAAGAAAAAAGAAAGGAAAACTTAACAATAATGGGAAAAAGTTTACTGAGAGATGACACTTTTGAGTGTTGGACACATGGATTTTGCATTTGTATTTTTGTGCCCAATCATTATAGCTTTGCCAATATCTTATATTCCTTGAGCAACCCAATATAATTTTTTTCTCTTATCTTGTGAAATAAGTTTTTTTGGTCTGGACTTGTGAAATAAGTAAAGACATATATATATGAAGTATACATGGAGATTGTGATCCTTCAACTTCCATGACAGAACTTGTTCTATTTTTCCATCTCTATATGGCCACTATGAAAATTTTGAGAGAGAAAACAAAAAACATGAATTTGGAAAGGTGTTTTGACAAGTCAGCAAATAAAAAAAATGATTTTGTTTAATGGAATGGAAAAGGTATACTTTTTAGGTTAAAGTGAATGCTAATGACAAAGTAGGTCGCACAGATCAGTGTGTTTGCTTTGCTTCTTGTATACTTCATTTATAAGAAAACACATTCTTGGCCTCACAATATTTGCATCATCATTTCTGAAAAATGCATGGTTCTGTAATTCTCAACCTTTCTGAGAAGTGGTGTTCAATTTTTCAATGCTCATATCATATGAGTCATATAGCAAAACTAAATAATGTTCTTCATTTTCTTCCCACGTGCATGGAGGAGACTCGTACCAAAGTAACTGGAAGGCAGCAATGTCGGACCAAAGGACAAGAGGAACGGTCAATAGGACAAAAATTGTCCACGCGCATTCTAAAAGAGAGGAAGGTGACAAAAATTAGTGCTACCAAGCATGTTCAAATTAGCTTAATCTCGCTACATCCTTTTTCTGTGTTTTATTTTTCGGACATGTAAAAGAAAAGGAACTCAATATAATACTCCGCTGTCCCTCTCTAGCGAATGACAAAAATGAAAGAAATGAAACTCAATATCTCAAACATTATATTTGGTAGGATAAAATGCATTATTGATTTCATTGTGTGGTTCCTATTGTTTTTCCTATGGCCTGCTTTAACTTAACCTTGATAAAGAGCAAAGTACTAGTTTGCCAGACGCCAAACAACCCCTCTACCTACCCCATTGACCAAAACAATAATTCATCAAATTGGTGATTGATTTTGTTTCGATTCAATTATTTTCTCAGTAAGCTTCCACTTTTATTATTGTTTATAATTGTGTTTTGTCCCTGATCAGGGTGCTGACGACCAAGGTCGGTGTTGGTTTAGGGAGGGAAGGAGAGGGTAATGGCTTAGTAAGAACTTTGCTAAAAGCAAGCGCGTGAGCTTCTGCACAAAAAAGAGCCAGGTTGTTTGAAACATGTCATCCTCCTATTGGCCACTTGAGAAAAGAAAGTGGTCAAGTAAATTCCGCCCGAGCAAAGTGAAAGTCCAAAGTGGAAAAGAAATATATAAAAAAAGAACTTCGACCAATAAGAGCAAGACCCGTAGGCGCAAACACGCTTTGCATAAACAGTAAAGTAAAGGCACAGAAAAACTCTATAAAACCACCCAAACGCCCAAAACCTTAACTCCCTTTGATCCCTCACAACACAAAACGACAGCCAAAACCCAGTTTTGTTAATCTTCTCCTTCTTAACCACACTTTGCCTGACACAAAGTCGGCAACTTGAAAGAGAGCAGTGTCAATGAAAGAGACAGATTGAAAGGAGTGTTATTCATTAATGCCTTATGGCATGCCTGAGGAAGAAGAAGCACTGCATTGAATTTGAACCCTTTTTTTTTGTCAGTTTTGCTCTTTGTTTGGTCCTCCTCACCAACCCATATCGGGATCTTTGCCAAAAGTTGAAACCTTTGTTGTTGGCTTTTATTCCGAGACCATGATGAAGAGCTTCTGGTTCTTTGCTCAGTTTCTTCACGTCTTCTTGGTCTTCTCCACTCTAATTGGTACCTTTCTTTTTTCTTTGATCAGATTGTTGTTATTCAATTGATTTGTGGAGTTGGCTTTTTATGGTTTTAACTGCTATCTGCTTGAATTTGTTGAATTGGATGGTTATAGAACAGTGTATTTCTATTCTATGTGATTATTTACAGTGGGTAGTCGGTTTCTTGAAGAAATTGGGTTTAGATATTTCAGTGGTTATTGATTTTGATTGCTTTGTGATAGTTTCATATTAACATTGGTCAATCCTGAGATTTAGGAATCTCTCTGTTTCTGTTTTTAGGTGAGGATTGATTGGCTTTCTCCTTCATTGGTTATCTGAAGTTGTGTGTGTGTGTTTTTTTCCCTTAATGAAAGAGATTTGACTGAAGTTTCTGTGGCTCTCCGCTAGATGCTGTAGTCTTTTCTCTTTCTTTTTTGTTCTTCTCAAATAGAATAATCTGTTTTCTTTATTATACAGGTTTACAAAATTTTCCAGTTGATTACTCCTACTTTTCAAAGTGTACAGATGATACTACAGTCTTTTTAATGTATAAGAATCTTTGAAGATTAAAAATAAAACAAAATCTACTTGTTTACGGTTATTGGGATTTATCACACGGTTTCATGAAAATTCAAAATGTTCAGTTTAATGATTCCATTTGTAGTGGTGTGATTTCCTTGAAATTGTATAAACAGGAGATCTGCCTCCCTTCCCATTAAAAAAAGAAGATGGAGAGCCTATTTTATGGTGGAATAAGCCCGAACTGGTTCTCTACCAATCTCTGTGATTGGTTCACTGAAATAATTGCTATGCTAATTTTAGCGTAAAATATGGCACCTAATATGTTGCCATTGTCTTTCATTACCACATGAACAAATGATTGATGGTGCTGTTTGTGTTCTTTCCCAGCCTCTGTGGCAGTACAAGCATTCACTGGAGCCTATGGAATAAATTATGGAAGAATTGCAGATAACATCCCTTCTCCTGATAAAGTTGCTACTCTTCTCAGAGCAGCAAAGATAAAGAATGTCAGGATATATGATGCTGATCACAGTGTTCTCAAGGCTTTTAGCGGGACTGGGCTTGATTTAGTCGTAGGACTTCCAAATGGATACCTGAAAGACATGAGTGCCAATGAGGACCATGCAAGGGATTGGGTTAAAGAAAATGTGCAGGCATTCCTTCCTGAAACACGCATCCGTGGGATTGCTGTGGGCAATGAAGTATTAGGTGGGACCGATTATGAATTGTGGGGAGCTCTTTTGGGTGCAGTTAAAAATATCTATAATGCAATAAAGGAGCTAGGATTAACTGATGTAGTTCAGATTACCACTGCCCATTCACAGGCTGTTTTTGCTAATTCCTTCCCTCCCTCTTCCTGTATATTCAGAGATAATGTTAAACAGCAATACATGAAGCCACTTTTGGAGTTCTTCTCAGAAATCGGGTCTCCTTTCTGTTTAAATGCTTACCCATTCCTTGCCTACATGAGTGATCCGGAGAACATAGATATTAATTATGCTCTTTTCCAGAAAACTCAGGGGATTTCTGATCCAAAGACTGACCTTCATTATGATAACATGCTTGATGCTCAGATTGATGCAGCCTATGCAGCATTGGAAGATACTGGATTCAAAAAGATGGAAGTTATCATTACAGAGACAGGGTGGGCTTCGCGTGGGGATGACAATGAAGCTGCAGCTACAGTAAATAATGCCAGGACATATAATTATAATCTACGTAAAAGGCTAGCAAAGAAAAAAGGGACCCCTCTCCGGCCAAAGTCTGTAGTGAAGGCGTATATTTTTGCCATATTTAATGAGAACTTGAAACCGGGGCCAACTTCTGAGAGAAATTTTGGACTGTACAAGCCTGATGGGACCATTGCATATGACATTGGGTTTCATGGACTTGTATCATCATCTGCAGATTCGTTGCGCTTATCTTCGAAGGTACAAGTTTCCTTACCTCCCATGAACTAAGTCATCTGAATGCTAATTAATGTCTTGGAGATTGGATTTTCATGAATTGGAATTCTTGCTGAAAATAAAAGAAGTATGTTTGAAGAAATAAAATGAATAAAATTGAATCCCATGGAGTGTCATTGCTTGGTGTGCAGTGAGTGTCCAAACAAAAGGAATTCATTAGTTTCTTTTTGTTCTGTTTCTTTTACAGGATATTGGAGCTCGAGGCTGGTCTCGATCGCAATACTTGATATTACCAATCTCTATGGCAGCAGCATTTCTTCTGTTTTTGAGATGATGATTGAGCAAACCAGGCAGCAGCAGCAGCAGCAGTCGGAGTTGATCACGTCTCCTTCAAAAGTACAAACGTAACATTGATTCGAAAATTGTATGGTAGCAGCTAGCTATATTGCTTATTAAGTTTATCCATCAGAGGAAATGTATATCAGTTTTGCTTTTTCTACAACTCCTTTTGTTCCATTTATTCTCTCGTCACATGATTTCCAACCACTTTTTTAAGGCTTCTTGGGGATATTTATAAATAAGAATGGAAAAGCTGTTTAAGATTTTCCAAGATGTTGAAACAATTGATTTTAGAATCAACGATGAAGGTAAACACGAATCTCCCAAGAAAGAACCATGTAACGTGAAAAATAGCAAAGAGAGAGATGAGTAAGTTGCTGGCTTGAGTAGGCAAAAATACCCCTCCACGTGAAGGAGGGCATATGTACAGTACATGGACCAGTTTAAACTAGAGATACCAAAACTGAAAGTTGGCCACAAAATCATGTCGGTCAATTGGATTACGTGGAGAACTTCCTTCCATTGTCTGTTGTTCTCACTCTTGACCTGAAAAAAACGGCGAGTCGTTCAACAGTATTGCTTGCCACGACAGTATATATATACATATATACACTTTTTGATCGTTGCTGCCGAGTCATACGTATACTTTTTTTTGCCTTAAATAAAAAAAACTCAAGACATAAAAGTTATAAAGTTGGCAACCAACGAATAAGTCATGGCATGGCAGGGGAGGGAACAATAAGAAGCTTCCTATTTCTTTTTCATGACATGCCATGTCATCAATTTAATAGAAGATTAGACGGTCAAAATAACAGAATGTGTAAATTGATCGAAGTCCCAAATTTTAATATGCTTAAAAGGAGAATAGATACATTGGGTTTATTGTATCATAATATTAATAATATAAGCAACTATTAATCTTATTGATCGGTCTGACAGAGATATTCTATAAACCAAATTTAACTTAATTTACCAATTCAAGGTCATTGTACTTCTTTCATTAAAAAAAGAAGAAGTCATCGTACTTCTTCATCCTCTCTCCATTGAAACTTGTCAAGTGACACACTGAGATATGAGATGAAAGTTGTCAGTAAATTTAGAAAATTGTTATTAACGCTTGAAATACTAGTATTGCACTCTTATCTCCATTAAAATAACATGAAATGGTGAAATTTAAAATTTACTCCAATATCATTCACAATATTCCTTGAGATGCCAAGCTGCCAAGTGATTCGACCCCATTGCGCATATGATTCTCGTTGACTATTGGAACATGTTTACAGTCATTGACTTTTGCTGCACATGGTGCTGTTCCTGCTGCTGATGCCATTATAGAATACAACTGTCCTATTGCAACATCTGACTAAACCAAATGGGGCATGAAATGCAAGGGCTCCTTCTCTGCATCTGTATCTATATAAACATGTAATATATTGTAAGAGAAGCAAGGCAAAGCTCAAAAATACCAAATAGCAGTGGGGCAACCTGTGAACACTCATATCCCATATAGAATTAGGCATGGCGTCTAAACTAGTTAGTCATAATGTGAGAGCTGCTGTTGTTGTACTTGTTATAGCAGCAGCAGCGGCATTGATCATAGAAAGAGCAGAAGCTGAAACACACACTGTAGGCGGCGCTTCTGGCTGGACCAATACTCTTGCTCCCGAATTTTATACTTCCTGGGCTGCCAATCACACCTTCAAAGTTGGCGACATTCTAGGTAATTTACAATAGGAATTCAAATATTAATATCAGAGAGAGACACCAACTTATTTAGTTTGTGTTTGTGTTTTGTTGCTGTTGTAGTGTTCGAATTCACTACCGGAGGACATGACGTAGCGAGACTTGGAAAGGAAGCTTTTGATGCGTGCAACAACACCGATCTGCTGAGCCTACCTGAAAACCAAGGACCCGCCAAATACAGCCTCAATCAAACTGGCGATTACTATTTCATCTGTGCTTTCCCTGGTCACTGTAGCCAGGGTCAAAAGTTAAGCATCAAAGTCATAGCCACTGGCCCTTCTGCTCCTGCCCCTGCTCCTCATTCTGAAGCCCCCACAACTCCTACTGCTCCTGCTCCTAATTCTGAACCCCCCAAAACTCCTCCTCCTTCTCCTTCTCCTTCTTCTCAAGCCAAGACTCCTTCTCCTTCTCCTTCTTCTCAAGCCGAGACTCCTCCTTCTGAGGCCACAACTCCTTCTTCGTCGCCACCAACTACGGCAGCCACAACAGCACCTCCTCCGTCCTCAGCCTCGTCTCTGGCTTCTGCTATTTCTACTATTTTCATGTCCATTGCCATTGCTCTTTTCTACCTCTTCTAGGCTAGAGTCCAACTACTCAGTCTTCTTTCGATCGCGATTCGCCCCTTAAGTTTTCCTTTGTTATTTTATGTTCATCAATGTGAGTTCAATGCTTCATGCTTTATTCTAGAGACTGCCAATCATGATCATCTTAATTAATCTGCTATTTTGTACTATTGAAATAATTGAAATAAATATCAGAAAAATCAATAACAAAACAACCATGGTGTTACATTTTAATCTCACTAATACAGAAATTATTTACCCTATACTTACAGTGATGAATTTCTGATTAGCAATGTGTGATACCTTCCAGTTGTAATTTGCATCTGTTGATAGAAACAGTCATAATTAACCATAACGTTTAGCCAACATCTACCAGAATGGACCAGAAAACAGGGGAACTGATGATTGACTTCATTAGCAAACTCCACAAAAATCTATTATCCAGCAC